GGGGGCGGGTCACATGATACAACCCTAAGCAATAGCAGATGTATTGCAATAAAGTGATATATGATGTTAACATGACTGTGTGTGTGTGTGTGTGTTTCATCATTGATGTAGTGAAAGGGTTGAATAGAGCAATGCAGAGGATGGAACAGCAGGTTAGGGTGATAAAGGATAGAGATGTAAAAACACGACAAAGTGTTTAGAATCTAAATTCTTGGTCTTTCTGCTGGAAAATACTTCAAATATTTCTAAAAAAAAAGGAACATGATCTGATCATAATTTCAGGTGTAATTTTACCGTCAGAAGTCACGACACTTGAAGGCATCAAAATCACACACATCTGGCTCTTGTAGTTTTTCTGACCCAGTTCCTCTCCGGTCTGAACCCCCCCACCTTCCTCCTCGGCCCACTGCAGTCTTTGAAGCCCCTGAAGGGATGTTTTGTTCCCCCCACCCAGACTCCGGGGGTCCTGGGGGTCAGTTGTTCAAACACTCTGTCAAACGGTTGTTACTGTAGCGTGGGTGTGATTCTTGGGTCCCCACCTGAGTCGAACCAAAGAGGCGAGGGGACGGAGCCAAATCTGATGGGGGTGTTTATTGTGTTTGGCTGCAGGACAGAGGGACCTGGAGTCCCAGGGACACACCTGTCAGTTCCCATGATTGTATGAAAGAAGACAAACCCAGCAGACGGTTTTTACAGCACAGTGTTTGTACGAGTCAACAAAGAGCGCTGGGAAACTCTGAATGAATCAGAAAAAAAAAAAAAAAAACAGCTCTCTGTGCAAATATTTTTCTGTTTGGATTGAGATGGTAGTAGGGACCGTCCTCTTCCCCTGAAAATGTTCGGAAATGTAGTCTTTATTTCAGGAATAAGAACAATGTCAAACAGACCACCATTGTTCTGTTTCCGTTCTGTATTTATTTACAAGAAAACTTTTTCTTGGTTCTTCCATCAACAGAAAACTGAACATTTCTGCGGAAGTGTATAAGGTTTGAATCCCTGTTCCTGGGTTTAATTTTAAAAAATGACTCAGAATTTAATGTTAGTTTTAGGCTCACAATCCGATGGTCTCTTAATCAAATGTAAAGAATGAAAACGTTACGTGACGTTGAAGGAAAAGAACAAAACATTCAGACGTATGAGAACCTGAGATACGGAACAGGAAGCAGGGTAGAAACACAGACTGTCAGAGGGAAATAAAGTCAGATCAACGACCCCCGACCTCTAACCCCCAACCCACTTCTATACAAGCTGCCGTATAAACAGGAATGTTTTTCTTTTATTCAGAAGTTTAAAAAGAAAAACTTCCATTTTTTTTACTCCTGTTGAATCGTGATGAGGTTAAGAGTGAGTTAATTAAGTTGTACAGTGAAGTAGTACTACAACAAATACTTAGAACTCCAGAAAGAAGAGACTTGAATACACAGAAAAACAAGGCGTCTGTTTGATCACATGGTAGCAGTGGATTAATTAAAGTTAATCATGATTACAGTATTTTCCAGACTATAAGTCTCTATTTTTTTCATCCTGTGACTTATACTCCGAAGCAATTTAAAGTCTGTAAAATTTGGTATATCATAATTATTTTTTTTGATCCTGCGACTTATACTCCGAAGCGATTTATAGTCTGTAAAATTTGGTATATCATAATTCATCATAGTTAATCCCGACTAATCATAATTATTCCAAAATTTAACTGAAAAATACTTTGTTTCTTGTTTATCGTTGGAACAGAAAGACCAACATCAGCAGGTAGAGGTCAGTGTTTCTCACCTGATTGTATTTGTGACTAATCCAAATGTTGGAAGTTCAAACTCACATGGCAAGTGATGGACGTTGACAGTTCAGTTTTTCCCTGTGTACCACTACAGGGACCCACCTGTGGTTTGCATACCATAGTTTGAGAACCTGCAGTTAAGATAATGCAGTGTAGAAAATGGGCCTTTGTGTTTCTACAGTACAGGAGGAATTTCCTGAAATGTCACGCCGTCTTCAATCCTCCTCAGGGATTTTCTTCATTTTTCGGATGTTTTCAGTTTTTGTCGATTTCACTGTTTTTAAAAGTCAAATCTCAGGCACATTTCCTGAGAAAGAAGCAGAAGCGAAGACCCCTCGCTCTCTCACACCCCCCCCACCACCACACACCAGTGCATGTGGGTGATCACATGATCAGCTGGTACGTGATCATGTGATGTGTGGTCGGCTTTTATTCCATTCACTCCGGGCTCATGTGAAGACTTTTTTTTCTTCCTTTCTTTCTTTTGTACGTAAACAAATAATTGATGCATTGAAGAACGCGGCCGTTCACTGCTGCTGACAATGTGCCAGTGTCTCTGACCTGTGGGAAAATGATTGGCTGTTGAACAAGGTCAAAGACAGAGGAGGGGGTAATGTTCTGCTGAATATGACAAACACTGGGGTGGGATTTTTTTTGTCTGTGCTGTTATACAGAAAAGAAAGGAATCTTATTCTTTATTATCGGAGTTTAGCTTCAGAAAAAACAGAAGGAAGTTGTACGAGGTTATTTAGACACGGCAAGAAGTCCACGAAGCTTTTTAAACGAGATCATCGAGGCACAGAAAATAAAGAGCTAGAAGTGTTGCAGTGAAATAACTGGAGAAGAACTCGCTGTGACACGGTGAAAGAATTGGTCTGGAATTGTGTGTTAAAAAAGGACAGAGGTTGAAGTCACTTCCCAAATGAAGTCCTGAAGTCTTCAAATCGACTTGTCTCCTCACCTGCAGCAGGAAGTCAAAAACACGCTGCCTCTACCTGCCCCAGCTTGTGCCCTACATACCAGTTGAGTCTCTTCTTCAAGACGGCTGCAAAACAGATTCACAACTGTCGGAATGTTCTGCATTTCTTCTGTTGTTGTTTGTTGTTGTTCTGCACCACCATCATGTTGTTTTCTACCACACCTTGTCATTGAAAACCTATTCCTTCGTCAACGTCTCAAAGCAAAACTGCTGTTCTGTTTTTTCCGTGGTGTAAAATCTGTTGCCCGACGATCTTGGCCTTTAACCTCACCATCTCACATCTTGCTGGTTTAAGTCGTTGTCTTTATAGGAGGTCATTCTGCCGAAAAATTAGTTAAAAATTTTAATCCGATAAAACGAACTAACTACAAATAAACCTGGTGAGGAATGAGTTCATTTCAACAAAATGGGAATCAGTTACCCCTGTGTACCACCAGGGGGAGCTCAAGTACCACCAGCGGAATGCATACCATAGTTTGAAAACCACTGGCTTAGATGATGGCTTGTAGATAATGTGCTTTTTGTGCTTCTACAGCAGCTGAGACGTTCAGACGTTTTCAGTGTTTGAAGTTTTGATGATTTTAGTCTCAAGTTCATTTACGATTTCTTTACATTTGCAACGACCACCTGGAACTTCTCAACCTCAAAATGTCCAGGGTTCTAGATGGTTCCAAACATCAGTCTCCTACTGAGGTTGTAAAATGTTGTTTTTTGTTTTTTTTTTCCCCCCACGTTCCTGATGAAGATCTGTGGGAGCCGCTCCTCAGGTTTCATTAGAGCAGAGCTCGGGGTTTAGGCGTCTTTAGGCTTTGTGCAAACGGATAGAAACAATATCAGGACTTCACCTTCAGGCCTCAGGATTAAGTGGACCAGGTCCAGATCTTCTCAGAACAGGAAATTGTGTGTCTGGACGGCGGTGGGAACTGGGACTCTCAAAGACCACATCGGTGTCTTCAGCCTCGCACAGTGAAGTTGGCTTGTATTTGGTGTGACCGGCACACTTGAAGGAGCGCTGCAGTACGTTTTTACGTTATTGGTCGCACGAGGCAAGTCAGTGCTGAGGAGGTCATGTGATCCGAGCGTTCTGGTTCAAACACGGCAGCCAACAGAGGAAGAATACATGAGAGAAGGGCTGTGTGAAAAAATCTGTTACTGGAGGCAAGAATTTGGGAGAATTTTTACTAAAACAAAATTGCATCAGACAGAAGTGGAATGTCGCACCTTAAGTCATGAGTCATCAGTCATCACATGACTTCCTGCTAGCATCATAGGAATGTTTTATAGCAGTGGTTCCTGAAGAAGGGAGTGAGGGGGGGGGGGGGGGCAAAAGGTGGTGGGGGAGGGGGGGGGGGGGGGCACAAAGTGATTGCAGTGAAGTGGGGTGGAGGTTGCCAGGTTTGATTAATTAGGCCAAAATGGAGTGAAGTTATTGAATTGAAATTGAATTTGTTCAATGAATTAAAGTGTTTCAAATCAGGGTTCAGTGTTTAATCTGCTTTGGTTTTCAATAATATTAGTATACATTCTACTCTACTTCATATAAATGCAAAATAATACTGACAGTAAAAACCCTGTTATTGAAATTCTAATTCAAAGTAAATACTGTGACGTCAAAACACTTTTTTTCCGGCTCCACAGCAGGGTTAAACTTCCACCAAGTCAAACAGTTCCTCCTGTAACTCTCAAACGGTGACACACCCAAAACCACACAGGCCTGACTGTGCCCTGTCACGCCCTCACCCTCCACCCCCCCCTCACCTCCCCATCCCTCCCATTCATGAATTCAGGGCAGCTGTCTGGGTTTTAGGTCTGAATCAGGTTGCTGCGACACATTCTTCAAATATCCTCTTTCACAGAATCAGAGAAGGAAACAGGTTTAAGTAAAACGTTACGATCTTTAACTTCCTAGAACTGTGGTTAAGACACGCCCTATATTTAACTCATGACTCAGATATTTATCGCTCGGGGTCAGGGTAATTAGGCGATGAAGAAGAAGAAGAAGAAGAAGAAGCCACAGCCAGATCTGAAAATGATCTGAATGTTGTGGCTCTTCATTCCTCCGTCGGGCTATTCCCAGAGGACGGATTACAACATCACTGCAACCGGCTCAGGTGGTTTCGTCAGTTAGCCGTCACCGTGGTAGCAGCGAGTTTGTCTCGATCCCCAGTGTTTCTTACAGCTGTGTTTCAGTTGCAGCGGTATTTCCTTACGGTGACCTGCACCAATACTCACCAGCAGTAAAAGAAAGTCAGTGACAAGGGGACACGTTTTCACTGACGGATGTCTGACTGTAGTTGGCAGTAAATACCATAAATATATATTAAAAATAAACAACTTGTGGTGAAAATGCTATTGGTGGCGTTTTCCAAAATAGAATTAAATATATTTGAGTCTGTGCTCAGTTTTATTTACTCATCTTCTGCACCTTTTTAGAGCCCCCTGGGACCGGGGGCCGGGGGCTGACATCAGGCAAGAATGGACATGTTTACTAATCTTAGCTAGTTTTTGCGAACTGCGAAACCAGATCGTTACGGTTCCACCAACAGTTGGAATTCAAACATTAAAGACATCAAACAGCCGAGCTGTTCCATTAAAGCTGGACTTCAAAATCAAAGGCTCTTTGTCCTCAAACTTCTACCTTAACCTCTCCATAAGTACTGCAGTGTCAGCAGTGTACGACCGGAACGCATGGAACCCTGGCTCAGCTGGGTCATGTAACGTTGCATCATCTGAGGAAGCGGTGAATGTCTTCAGGCTGACAGTGTCAGTGTCTCGACTTGTTTTACTCTGGATTCATCAAGTCAGAAACCAGGTCCTGATGTTCATGTCTTCATGACAAACCCCTCAGATTCGAGTCAAAAGTCAAGTCAAGGAGAAAGAGGTCAAAAGGTCTGGCTTTGTTCACTCACCGCCCCGAAATCCTCTTCCAACGTCCCAGACTTTCTTGAGAGTCCTGTAGTACCACTGTCTTCGGCTAGAGGGCGCCATAGGAAAAAGCGAGTGGACGTTGACAAAGAAGGAAGAGGCTGTGGTGGAGGAGGCGGTCGATACCTACTTTTCTATTGAATACAAGGCGGAGCAGAGACTCACGCTGCGGTGACACACACACACCGACTCCTCGTGGCAGAGCTCCACCGGCATCACTTCTCTACAACCGGACTCGGACACACACACGCAGCAGAGACCCCGGGGGACGGAGCGAGGAAAGTCAGCCGTTAACCATGGCCGCGTTAAAAAAGAGGAACTCGAACTCGTTGGCGGACACCGAGGAGGACAGACAAGTCACCCAGAAGATGCTCCCCGGCGGAGGCAGCGCCGCAGCTGCTTCTGGCCAAGAAGGAGAGGAGGACGGAGTCGTCCTGAAGAGGACCATCACGCTGCTGAACGGCGTGGCCATCATCGTGGGCACCATCATCGGCTCGGGCATTTTCGTCTCGCCAACCGGCGTGGTGAAGGAGACGGGCTCCGTGGGTCTGTCCCTGGTGGTGTGGGCGGTGTGCGGGGTCTTCTCCACCGTGGGCGCCCTGTGTTACGCAGAACTGGGGACCACTATCTCCAAGTCCGGCGGAGACTACGCCTACATCCTGGAGGTGTACGGCTCCCTGCCGGCTTTCCTCAAGCTCTGGATCGAGCTGCTCATCATCCGGCCGTCGTCACAGTACATCGTCGCCTACGTCTTCGCCACCTACCTGCTCAAACCCATTTTCCCCGACTGTGACGTGCCAGACACCGGGGCTAAGCTGGTGGCCTGCCTCTGCATCCGTGAGTATCCGCGGCCCTGCGGGGGGAGTGATGCAACTTCTGTCGCGTTTAGTTTTTACACCCGACTTGTCCCGGGACGTTAAACACACACAACCCCCCCGTTGTTATTAGCCATTCAAGCTAATTTAAGAAGAGAAAAGAACCAGATTTGAGCAAACATTTACACCCTGTGCGAACACGTGTCTGCCGAACAGCGGACTCAAACACAAGCCGGGCTCTTACATCAGCTCCGGGTAAGGCTGTGGGAGGAGAATGATGGAAATCCACGCAACACCATGTCACCACCGTCACACAAAAGACGGTTTATTCTCCACTTTAATGACACATCATCACATTTAGGCTTAAGTTTGCTAAAAAAATTAAAAATTTAAAAAATTTAATTTTTTTAAAAAAATATATAAATTACAGTCAGACGTAGAAAGTATTATATTAAACTGGTTAAAAAATTTCCAAATTTTTTAAAATTTTAATATCATGTATAAACAGGTGTTAGCTTGATTTAGCACAAAGCTAACGCTCTGTCTGAACAGTAAACATTGTAAAATCCGTACTGTTCCGAGGAAGAGGAGTCAATAGTTTTTATGAGAACTTTCAGGGGTTTTTTTTAATTTTTTTTTTTTTAATTACAACTCGGAGGAAGAGGAGTCGATAGTTTTTATGAGAATTTTTAGGGTTTTTTCTTTTTTAAATTTTTTAAATTTTAGTGTGATTCCTGACACTGGCCTGGTTTGTGTGTTGTTGTCCGTGTGTGTTGTTGTCCGTGTGTGTGTGTGTGTGTCGGTAACTCAGTACCTGATGAAGTTCTAATCCTTGCTGAGACCACATGACAAGGCTGTGGACCAAAGGGATAGGTTATCTGTTTATGTGTGTCTGAGTGTGTGTGTGTTTATGAGGCTCGCTGACTTTGGTGTGTGTGTGTGTGTGTGTGTGTGTGAATGCTTGAGCTGCAGGCATGAGAGTCGACTGGGGCATAATCTTCACACACACACACACACACACAGATATTCATACAACTGACTGGTGGATGACTTGTGTTTATGTGTGTCTAAGTTTGTACGCACGCACACACAGAAGCATGCCAACTGCTGTGTGTGTGTGTGTCCTTGTGCTCGCTCACTGTAGCTTCTTTCCATCTCTCTCTCTCTCTCTCTCTCTTTGTCTCTCGGCCGACACAGAATCTCATTGTGTCCCGTCCCGTCCTCTGGTCGTGGCTCTGACCTGATTTAGGAGCTTTGAAGAGACTGGTTGCTTTAGTTAATCACTTTTAATGGGCTCCAGTGTCAGGGGCCACTCAACAATGGTGTGTTTGAGTGTGTTTCAGTGTGTGTGTACTTTGTAGAGATAAAGGTGAGGGAGTACTGTACATGAGAAAGTTTTCACAATGGACACAAGGACACGAAACCTGCCAGTGTTACAGATAAGACACGCTAGGCAAAACAATGAGTGATAACTATATTACTCTGCCTCGGCAAAATATATATACACATATATAATATATATTTACACATATAAATATACACACACATATATAACATATATATTTACATATAAATATACTTACATATAACACATGTATTTACATATATAAATATACACATATATAATATATATTGACATATATAAATGTCCACACAACATATATATTTCCATATAAACATACACACATAACATATTTACATATATAAATATACACACATAACATATATATTTACATATATAAATATACACACAACATATATATTTACATATAAATATACTTGCACATATAACATGTATATATATTTACATATATAAACACACATATATAACATATATATTTGCATATATAAAATAAACATATTTAAATATACTCGCACATATATATAACATAAAAGTGTGTGGTTTAGGTGTGTGGTGATGCTTGTTCTATTGGACAGGGAGAATTCACAGCAGTGACACCAAACCCTTCTCTCCAGTAGTCAGGGAGAATCCACAGCAGTGACACCAAACCCTTCTCTCCCCGTCTGTCTCCAACAGTTCTGTTGACCTTCATCAACTGCTACAGCGTGAAGGCGGCCACCAGAGTGCAGGACTTCTTCGCCGCGGCCAAACTGCTGGCGCTCGCACTCATCATCATCATCGGCTTCGTCAAGATTGGCCAAGGTACGGAGTCGAGCTTTGATCAGTGGGTGGTGTGAAAAGAATTCATTATCTGGAATTGGGGTCAAATGATAGCAGAGAGAAACGCTTCAGTATCTTCTACCTGATAAAATAACATTTTTATACAAATTTTCACAAAACAATTTCTATGTGATGTTTCTCCCCACTGAGGACTGGGGTGTAATAAAATATTAATTCAGTGAAATGTCGCAATATTGTTTTAAGGTAACCAAGATCGATATTCTCCAGCAGCTGTAGTGATTTTTTTTTTTAATTAACAGTTAACGTACAAATACTCATTTTTGTGTATTTTATCCTCCGACTGTACAGGGACTGCATATATTTACAAGTATTTGAGGCTCCATTCAATCCTGACGAATAACACGTTGACCTGTCGTACGTAGTCCAGTCCCTGTAGACCGCTAAGGCTTCAATCTCAGACCTGAAACAGGAAGTGGTTAGGTCAGTAACAGCTGTTTGTTTTGATTCCTTCTCACGTTGAAAGTCATCTCTTCTTTTTCATTTATTTTTAGCTTGAAGTCTCATGATGACTTTTCCTCCCAAATGGTTTTGGGGTGAAGGGACTTTCTTAGTTCTTGTTTTGAACAGAGATGAAGAATTCGCTGTTGGTTCACTTCCCTGGGGGAAGCTGCCATTGGGCATGAGCTCCCTGGAGTTGTGCCAAACACTCATGAGGGTCACAGGATGTTGTGAAGGCTCAAAGACACCAGACAATTCTCTTTTTTTTTTTTAGTGGAGCACAACGCGGCCTATTCATTAAAGCGCTCATTAAAGTTGTACAAAGAAACGGGAGCAGGTCAAAAACTGAAGTTCTCCCCAGGCAGGAAGTAGTTCAGACTGGGCCGAGTCATGGTCCCACCTGGAGGAAACTGAAGAATCAGAACATCAGCCATGAAAAATCTAAAATCTCTTAAGGTCAAAGGTGACCTGTACCAGATATTGGGCCTCACTGTTTTTTTTTAATCAACAGAGTAACCCAGAATTTCAAACTTTTTATTTTTTTATTTTTTTTTCAATATGACCTCTTGACCCTCATGTTCATGTTGAAGTGAGGATGACGGATGTTGAAATGTGATTTTCTGTCTTAGCCTCTATTAATTAATATCAGTCGGTCGATATTATCGGCCTGATATTAGCATAATTATATAATATCGGTAAGAATCGTTATCGTTTTATCCCTCTAAAATTGAAAACCCGATAACGCAATGCGTCGGTTTTGCCAAATTTGCTGGAATCGCACGTCGGATTTGCCAAATTTGCTGGAATCACACGTAGGATCCTGAGACGTTTACCTCAGTTTTAGGGACAAACAGCTGCATATATCGAAGTGTTTTGACAATATCGTCAAAAAGTTACTATCAGACAATGCTGCTGTTTTTTTTCCTTTATCAAATTTTGATTGAAATTGCTTTATTAGCATCGACTGACGACGAGGTCAGACAGTGAGCGCAGGAAGTGAGAGCCTGCCAGAGCTGAGAGGTTCACTGAGTCCAGCTCTCAGGGCTTGGCTCACATCGTGGTCCTCAGCATCAGAACTGTTCATAACTCCTTTTTAATTCCGCTCCGATTCATGCAATTAAAGCAGAAAAGCCTCTGTTCCCCTGCGTGCTTCCTGCGGAGCGCCGGTTCAGCTCAGTTCAGGCTGCGTCTCCTTCCTGTTCCTGTTCACCAGCGCGGTTGATGGGGGCAAAGTTGTCATCGCAGGATAAAAAAACCCACCTTCTCAGGTCACGTTGGTGAGGTCTGTGAGCCGACAGACCGTCAGTGTTGCAGGTTTAACGGAAGCAGTGGTTGAACGGCGCTAATGGAGTAATACACGGCGGACAACAGGGGGCAGTGTGTGTTATTTTGCGGAGACTGTCGTAGATGTGACAACCGTCGGTATGTCGACTTTCTCCGGCTGTATTTGTTTTCTCCTGCTGACCTTTTGACCTCTGTCTGTCCCTCTGACCTCCACCCTGCGGACCTAAACTCGTCTGGTTAACGACAATGGTTTTTCTCAGTTCGACTCCAACAGTGACGCCAAACATCTACTCTTTTAAACCGAGCTTCAAAGGTCGCCACATGTCAGCGACTGTCACCTGTCTACATACAAGTAGAAAGGCAATAATGACTTGTCTAAATGGCTTGGGGGGGGGGGGGAGAGGGGAGGGTAGGCATCCTGTTTGGACGCCACAAAGTCGAGTACAAAGTCAGTTATTGGCCTCAATTTGTCATTGTCTAAGAGTGGGTTTTACAAACGCGTCCTGTTCCCGCAATAAAAACAATTGTAGAGTTTTCTGAAGTTCAGGTGCGTTCACACAGGAGGTGTGTGTGTGTGAGTGTGTGTGTGAGTGTGTGAGTGAGAGAGAAGGAAAACCTGGAGTGAAAAAAAACTACGTCAGTCTGCAGCGTGAGCTGTTTTGCGTAAAAATGGTGTAACATGAAATACAGTGTGTAAACGTAGTAGAGGAAACGTTGCGTTGACGTTGACTGGTTGTTGCTGTTGTTGCTGTTGTTGTTGCTGCTGTTGTTGTTTGAGGCTGGCGTCGTGAGCAGGTGTCGGACCAGGAAGGGCTCAGAGGAGATAATCAGATTAGCCTGTGTTCTAAACCAGAGTGCGGTCGACTGTTGATGCTCCACGACGGTGGTCTGTGTCAGTGCGTCAGTGCGTCGTAGTCCATCATCACAGTGTGTTTATCCAGAGCAGTGACTCCTGAGCCTCATTTATCCAAATGACGATGTGTTCAAATGAGTACGACAGACTAGTCGGCAAGCTACACTTATCTACATGTGTTTATATATATATGTGTACATACATATATATATTTATATATGTATGTATGTATGTATATATATATATATTTATATATGTATGTATATATATGTGTATATATGTATGTATATATGCAGCTCCAAATCAAAACCATCGTAGAAGAATCCAGACCAGCCGACAGTGAAGACAGTGATTGTTGCCTTAGCTTTTTTTTTTAAATCCCTCTTTAACTACTTCACACAGCAAACACCAGGCACAGAGCAGCAGCAGCAGCAGCAGAGGTTGTTGGTTTAATCCCTGCCACGTGCTCTGGTCCTTTTTTTAAAATCTGGTTAATCTGAGGAGTCTCCAGATAAACGGTGATTACACGAGCCTGGATGAAGGAGCTGCAGTGGTGTAGAAGTCTGTGTTTAACCTGTGGATGAGCTGCAGCTACAACACACATGGTTTGGTCTCGCTTTCCTTCCTGCGGTGAGCTCTGCAGGACTGGGTGAGACGATCGAGGGACACTGGTCCCTCGATCGCAAAGTAGAGACGCGATAGTTATTATAATATTTACATATATATATTATATTATCCCTTCACGAACCCTTTAGGAAGCATCGTAGGGCGTGAAATATGGGAAAAAAAAAACCGAAACCTTTTGAAATCTCGTTCATCTGTTTGTACAGGTTATTTTTTGCAATACCCTGTATGTATGTGTTGCAGAATGTCTTTTTTTTTTTTTACAGTTTTTTTTCTTCATAGGCCAGGAAATGCTCCGTCACCAAATTAATGTAAATATTGGAAATAAAAAATTTTGATATACCGCAAAAACCTGCGAAATCCGCAACACAAGAATACATTTGAAATCTTAAAATGCGATTGACTGAGAGTCTGACATTGTTTTTGACGGAGACACAAAACAATCATGTTTTTGTTGCTAACGGAGTTGATATTTACTTTTACCACCGCCGGCCTTTAACTACAGTCAGGACAGCGTTGACGGAGAGAAACTGATTTGTCCATGTTGTTGACATTGTTGTGTGAGCAGAGTCAAATGATGGCCGTTAGCATTGTCTGATCATCCAGGGCCACCGGGGGGCCCCCTCTCCCAGTGTGGACCCCGGGGACGTTTGTCTGTGGAATTACAGCCTAAACCCAGTGTGAGACTGTCAGGACGAGACGGAGACAGACGCCCCTGTGGACGGGCTTTTCCCACACTGCACTGCAGCTTATGGCTAACCCTTCCACTACCAACACTGCCTATGGCTGTTGGTTTAGCAACCGGCACTGTGTCTGAGAATGTGTGTGAGTGTGTGAGTGTGTGTGTGTGTATAGTGAAGTTTGTCACGATGGAACAGACTAGTGGAGAGCTGGAGCTCAGACCAAAATGCTATAAATCCTCAAAAAAAAACTAATTAAATTTGGTGGGAAGAGATCATCCGTCCTCTGGGTCATGCCCCCTATGTTGATCCCCCTGTCTGGGTCACCTGTTGACCGTCTTAGTTTCATTAAATCCTGCGGCCCTTCACTGGTCCACACACACTCTCGGTCAGGAAAACAGTTTTGTCTCGGTTTAATTTTCGACGTCCTTCTCGTCTCCTGCAGGTGAAACAGACGGACTTCTTCCGGAAAATTCCTTCAAGGGCTCCAACTATAATTTTGGAAACCTGGGCCTGGCGCTGTACAGTGGTCTGTTTGCCTACGGTGGCTGGTGAGTTCAAGACTCAGACGTAGGGTTTTCTCTGTTGTGTTTCTGATGACGTGAGAAACAGAATGTCAACAGTCAGACTTGTCAACAGTCAGACTTGTCAACAGTCCCATGGAAGGTTTGACCCCAAAGGTCAAAGTTCAGTGTTTGCTGGATGATGCATATTTTTTGCTGACTGGGCCAATACGAGTCTCCAGTAGACGAGCGTCACATTAACATGATGTCATCGTTTACGTCCATGTTTGAATTTTTTTTTTTTATCTCTGATTTCAGGAACTACTTGAATTTTGTGACAGAGGAGATGATTAACCCTTTCAGGTGAGTGCCCATGATTAACAGATGCCGTCCATACTGTAAATTTGGTGTCCTCAACCCCTGGGTCGGGGACCTGTATCGGGTCGTTCACCATTCAGTACCGGACCACAAAGGAAAACATTTTTTTAAATTTTTTTGTCTGCGTGGTCTTTTATTTTGAAAACCGATCTGTCAGTCAGAAACTTGGCTGGAGAACGTCTTTAATGATGAGTCAGCGGAATGTTCCAGAACTGCCACCAAAAAAAACAAAAGTTGTATTTAAAAGAAAATACCTTCAGTCCTCAAATGACTGATTTAAGATAATAATTATATTTACATTATTATTTACAATTACAATTATTAGATATATATGAGTGCATATAAATGTGTCTGTTTTTATGTATACCTTATATATAAATATGTTTTTATATATTTATATATATGTTTTTATATATTTATTATATATTTTTATATATATATTTTTATATATTTATAATATGTTTATAAATGTGGATGTATCTAAATGTTCCACTGTGTTCTCCAGGAACCTGCCCAGAGCCATCATCATCTCTCTGCCCATAGTGACCGTCGTCTACGTTCTGACCAACCTGGCCTACTTCACCACACTCACCCCGGATCAGATGCTGAACTCAGAGGCTGTGGCGGGGGTGAGTGTTCCTGCGTGTCTGAACGAAGGCTTTGCGTCTTTTCACTGTCATTTTTTTTTTTTTTTCTTCTTGCATGTGAAACTCCGCCCCCTTGTGTCCTACAGGACTTTGGTAACCGCCACCTGGGCGTCATGGCCTGGATCATCCCGGTGTTCGTGGGTCTGTCCTGCTTTGGTTCAGTCAACGGCTCCTTGTTTACGTCCTCCAGGTGAACATGTGACCACAAAGACCTGACATGATGGGGAAATAAAAAAAACCTAGAAGGACATGAATGTGAAACCAGATGTTTTTCCTTCCCCTGTTAGGCTGTTCTACGTGGGCTCCAGAGAGGGTCACCTGCCCAGTCTGCTCTCTATGATCCATCCCACTCTGCTCACCCCACTGCCCTCACTGCTGTTCACGGTACACACTCCAGCTGAGAGAAAACCACGTCTATTATCACACACTAACGATAACTGACCACTGGAACAAATACCACCTTACCACTGAAATACTTAGATAAAAAGAAATGTCACCGTAAAAATACATTCTTCTTATTCCACAAAATCTGATTCTGACTCGGCACAAATTCATATATGTTGTGTATATATGTATATATGCATGTGTATAAATATACTGAATATGTATATATACATATACAGTATATATACATATATATATACACATATATATGTTATATACATATATGTCAATACATATGTATTTTGTATAGTGTGCTTATGTTTTAAGTATATATATACATATATGTGGATATATGTATATATGTATGTGGATGTACATATATGTACACATAGGTGACATAAGTTTTTGTGATTATATGTACACAGGCATATATGTATATATGTACAGTATATGCTTATGTACACAGGTATATATGTGTATATATGTACAGTATATGCACGTTCAATTTATGGTTTTTTTCCATACATACTTTTTTTTGTTGTGACCTTTTTGTGTTTGTACTTTTTTTTTGTTGTGACCTTTTTGTGTTTCTGTCGACCTGACAGTTGGTTTGACATCACTTCCTCTCACCTCTTGTCTCCAGTGTCTGATGACGCTCCTCTACGCCTTCTCCAATGACATCTTCTCCGTCATCAACTTCTTCAGCTTCTTCAACTGGCTCTGCATCGCCATGGCCATCATTGGCATGATGTGGCTGCGTTACAAGAAGCCAGAGCTGGAGCGACCCATCAAGGTGAGGAGAACCTGACGGCGGCGTCTACAGCCACTCCAGTTTGGAGGGAGTCCCTCTTTGTCTCTGTCGTGCTTTCGTGCAGCTGACTTCAGAATCAGTTGAGCCTGGATGAGCAACGTATCCTGACTTAATCCCTTATCTTGGTTTTGTGCGACACAGCAGTGTGTCTGGGTGGGTGTGTGTGTGTGCACTCGTTTCTCTTCTGTCTGTCTGTCCCATTCCTGCGGCTCAAAACAGTGAAACTCACGTCGTTAAATTGACCGACCAGTGTCTGTGGCCTCAAGACTTAAATACCAGTGTGTGGTGTACAGCTCCACCTGACAGAGGAGCTGAGTGCTGTGTTTGACCTCCTGTCAGTGATTTTGTTTTTATTGAAACTCCGTCCGTTCTCCTCCGACAGGTGAATATTCTGCTGCCTGCGACCTTCGTGCTGGCCTGCCTGTTCCTCGTCATCGTCTCCTTCTGGAAAACTCCCAAAGAGTGCGCCATCGGCTTCGGTATCATCGCCACCGGGCTGCCCTTCTACATGTTGGGGGTGTGGTGGAAGAACAAACCCAAGTGGTTTTTGCAAGGAATTTGTGAGTTTTATTTTTCTTACACTTTGTCCGTTCTGTGAATTGGTGGGAACGTTGTTATTTTTTTCTTACACTTTGTTCGTTCTGTGAATTGGTGGGAACGTTGTTCTGATGAGTCTTTAAACTTTGTTTTTTTTTTTGTAGCATCAACGACGGCTTTCTGCCAAAAGGTGATGGAGGTGGTGCCTCAAGTCTCCTAAAAGGTCCTCCAACAACATCGCTGTGGCCAATCAGACTGAAGCACGATCTCTGATAACCTCTGTTGACATCTTCCAACGCTCTCTCTCTCTCTCTCTCTCTGTAGCTCTCTCTCTCTCTCTCTTTCTCCCTCTCTCCCCCTCCCTGTCTCTAGCTCTTATACGCACACATGGACACATGCCCCGTCTGCCGCTCTCTGATATGAAGATGGACATGCTGATGTTCAACACATCCATTTTTTTTTTTTTTTTTTTAAATATTTCGTGGGGTTGTTATGTTTATGAACTTTTTTTTTTACTGACTTTTCTTCATGGGCAGTTGTGCATTGTTACTGTTTTTTTAATGATGCAGTTCAACATGTAGTTTTAATGTTGTTGTCAGTGTTTTGGTCTGGATAATGTTGCGTTTGCTAAAGTTGTGCCTTATGTGGCAGATGAGATCAGGTGCCGAGGTGGAAGGAGTGAAGGCCAGGAGGCGTTTTTCAAGGTTTTGCTCAGACCATGAATCGTGAAGCTCTTGGTTGACAATGTTTTGTTCTCTCTGTTGAAGTCAGATCCTCAGATCCACACTGGTCCAGGACTCAAATCTCTTAAAAGTTTTGCTAAGTCAACGAGCATTGATGTTGTACAGACACAAAGGCATCAATTAAGCGAGCAACATTTTGGTGGAAAAGTCTCAACATTTCTGGACAGCTAAAATTCCAGAACGTCTTGTTATGAATTGCTCAGTGTCATACCTTCAGAAGAACTTTCTGGCACAACATCACATCACTGCGTTCTTCTCTTTTAAAGAGATGTTGCTTGGGGTGCCCCCTAGTGCTGATAGTGGTGAATCTATTAGGACAGTCTGTAGTGTTTTATGCCTCTAATGTGAGCGTTAATGAATAGATATAGATTTAATTTTTAGTGAAAACAATCAAATTCAAACTGCTGGTTGAAATAAGACGAAGTCCGTTATCCGTTAAGTAATCATAAGTCTTCTTTCTCCAGCTCGCGTCACAACACTGGGACAAACTGAGGTGTTTGACAGATGGAACGTCTTGGTTCTTACTGACCTTAGCTTCTGTGCTTCCCCGTCAAACAAAAAAAAAAAAAAAAAAAAAAAAAAGAAAATCTCTTTTCCTATTTCAGGGATGTAACCTCTTGGTCGCTGGTCTGGGGTCCGACCAACTCACACTGTGTTGTGAGGACATTGTCTGTTTGTCTGTCCTCTTAATCTATGGATGGTAGGGTCCAAGGGATGGTTCAGGTTCTTGGGAGATGCCCGGTGCTAACTCGCGGGGGGGCTAACAGCCCGCCAGACAAAACGGAGATCTGGCGTTGGCGCTGCTCTGTGAAGATCTCTTATCTAGAAAGTCTGGGATTTGACCTGACTGTGACGTTTGACATCTTGTCACTGAGGAATTCCTTCAGTGACACAAGTGCAGGACTTATCCAGGTTTGTGTTGATTTGACCAAGTGGGAGAACTGGGTTTAATCAGTTTGACCAGGAACTTTTATTGCCTTAAAAGAAAACGTTAGGCTGAAGTTAGTGTCGTCTGTTTTTGGTGTTTCGTGCAGCGTCAGTCTGCTGCTCCGGTGCTCCTGGTCAACCAGCATGTCTTTGCATTATCTGATCTCTCAGTCTTAGTCTTACTGCCCTGCAACATGAGCAGCAGGTGGCGCTCCAGTTTCTCCAGAGGACACACAGCTACTTTGTCTGTTTTTTTTTTTTCTTAATTTCTCTGAAGACCTTCGTGAATCAAGACGCTCGTCGTGGAAGTTTGTTTCTCTACACTGGACAGTGAAGTGTTTTTTGTTTCTCATTTTATCCAGACAAACTGAAATGGACATTTTCATGGTTTGACTTCAGTTTGTGTGCATCGACGTGTGTGTGTATGTGTGTGTTTTCTGGTGTGTTATCTCATCCACCAGGCAGAAGTCAAACGTCAGCTTCAACGTATCTTCACGCCGTTGCATTTGATGCTTTTGTGTGTGTATGTGTGTGTGTCGGGCGGAGTTTTGTGAAGGGGGCAGAGAAGATAAACTTTGCTGAAGGACAAGAAGAGAAGTTCTGGAGAGGACATCATTTTTATTTTTATTTTCATCCTCGACTTTTAGTGTTTTTTGTTACTTAATTGTCTCTGGATGTTTTACACACACACACACACACACACACACACACACACACTAGATAAAAAGTTGTGTCATTAACGTCAGACCTTTTTCCTGAAAAGGACCAAAAAGTTTGTCGCCATGGCGACGCTGTCTCCATGGAAAAACTGTAGGCAATCCTGTTGTTGCCGTGGCGACGGGATGCAGGTCGGGTTTGTGTGTTGTTACTTTTAGCCCTAGAACTCTTAACACTCCAGCCGTCGCACATTGCTGATGGACGTGAACTAACCAGAATAGGATTGTAGGAAGTTTATTTATTTATTTTTTAGATGTAATAAAAAAAACGAAGCTAAAACTTTGTTTCCTTTATTGTTTTAGTGCCTCTCATTTGTTTACAGGAGATTTTGTGAAAAGTGCTTAACAAATAAAATTTGGAGTTTTTTTTGCAATTCCCTGTGTTCTGTCATGTTTGGTTTAATTAATTATTTTCTTCTTTTTAAGTTTTAATCCAGTGGTTCCTGACATTTTATGGCCATTTTGACACAATTTATATTAAATAACAGTGAAAGACTGAAGTCGTTTCACACTGTTGTTTTTAATCATCATTTAAAAAAAAAATTAGTTAAGAAAATATTTTATCAGTAATTATTTTTATCGATTGTTGTACATATATCATTTGAGTTGCAGGTGACCCCAATATGAGGTCACGACCCCAAGGTTAAAAACCTCTTGATGACATTTAGATTTGTTCCATTTGCCAACGAAAATGTTCTGAGTGATTCAGACAAACAACAGTTTTTTTTTAGTCTTTTTGTTTTTTAGTTGTTGACCTGTAAAAAAATATTTACATTAAAAAAGCAACAGATAAAGAGACATAATAAGAAGTAAATACAACTGATGTGTTTTTTATTTGTTATTGTAATTTTATTTCATTTTTCATTTCGGGCCACTTTGAATTTAACTTTGATTCAATTTACAAACTTACAGAAATAAAGATAAAAACTAAATCTTGTGACCCATGTCGTCCAATCAAATCAGTCGTGAACTTTACGGTTACACTGGACATGAAGTGACGGCTGCGATGCAAATACTCAATGTTTTATCAGAATAATAACTCATAACAACAATAGGGTATTAGCTGGGGTCAGGGTGCTGCCCCCCGGTGGCTGTGGCCCCTGCTCAGTTATGACTTACCTCGTGCTCCTGTGTTGGCAGTAAACTGTTGTAGAGGATGAATACACGTTAGTCCTGGAGGTGAACCTGACACCAGTCTGACAGAGTCTCAGAACCAAACAGTTTAATCCTCCGCAGTATTCGGAGAACTCGGAGCAGCCGGGGCTGGAAGAGGAAGTCTGATCTGGGGTCAGTCTTACAGCCTGGTGGCAAAGGTGAAGAGGGAGGAGGTCTGAGGAGGTGAAGCAGGAGGTAGAGGAGTTTTACTGTTGACATTTGTCAAAAAAAAAAATTAAAATTAATGTTTGATTAGTGTTTTAGAGACAGGATCCATCCATTCATTAATAAAATATAAAAAAACCACACACATATTTTCTGTCTGACAACGCCCCAGTAAGGCCATATGGGGACATCAGAGTCATGCTGACAGTCTGACGTACGTCTGGAGCCCTGGAGGACGGAGTCAGTCACTGCAGCTGGATGTGAACGTCCTGTGGTTCCAAAGGGCAGCGACACACACTCAGTCAGTGTTAATGATATGAAAACGGATCTGTTTCTCAGACCAGCCGTGATAAAACTGCTGCTTCAGGTCAGTAACATCAAAAGAAGATTTAAAAAATGTATAAATTAAAAAAAAAAAAGATGAAGAAAGACTATTTATTACTAGAAAATAGAGCAGAACTAGTTTAAAGCTAATCTGAAGTAGATTAAAGGGAAAGTAACTACGACTAACTATATAATTTAGGATTAGCATTATCTTAGCAACCAATACACATATGGTAAAAGTCATAAAAATATTGCAAATACAATAGAAAAAAAAGTTAAAAATTGAACATAATCAAAATATAGCATAGCTGCTACATTACTATAGAACATATAGCTAAAATATGATGCTGAAATTAGCTTCACTTTTGTCAATAAAAACACACAAGTAGCTTTGCAGCTAAAACAATCAGGTTGGTTGAACCAGGATGGAATTAAAGCTGGAATTTAAAAAAAAAAGAACAGAAACATAAACAGAAATATGTGGCAAAAAGAATAGCAATTTAATTAAAGGAAAAATAAACAACGACGTCATCAGCGTAAGCATCAGTAACTCCAGATAAACCTGGTCCTTTCTCTGATCTCATCACCTCTGTCTTTATTCTCTGTCCGCAGCATCAGTCATGACCAGACACTCGGGCTGACGCAGCATTGACGTCACCACGGTGAGTCACATGGAGGTTCAGGTGCAGAGCGGCCGCTGGCTTTATTGACTCCATTAGTCGACGTCCATGTTCCCCTGAGCAGAGACCCCTGCTGGAGGAAGAACCAGTGTTCCAGTGTCGGCTCCTGACCTGGAAACTCTGATCAGTCCGGAAAAAATTCACTTCAGTTCTCTTCAGATCCGGGAAGTTTTAAAGGTCGTGATTTTAGCATCTGAATTTATGGCTCACAGCCATAAAGTCATGTGACTGTTGACAAATCTGTTTGGTCCACGTGGACCACAGTGATCAAATGTCCAGCCTCACATGTTAGAAAAGTTTAATTAATCAAGTCTCGATTCTCTCTGCAGGGGAGTGAACTTTCTAGGTCGGGAATATATACAATAATATCTGTGTGAAATATATCTGCAATGTCCTAAAGTACAGTGAGTTCCAGTGGCCCACATCTGGTGTCCAGGTATTCAAAGATTCGGTCCACATGTCGACCAAAGATGAACCAAATTCAGCTCTCTTCTAACACCACTGTACATGGAGCCAGAAAACGGGCAACGTGACTGAAATTCTAAGCCCAGACTGTGTTGTACCAGATGTGGGCCGCTGCCCACTGTTTCTGGGCCACTGAAAATGTGAAATGGACAATGAATGAGGAAGTGTTTGTGGAAGTGCCAGTGGGCAAAAAAAGTTTCGTTTAGGTAACACATGAAACGACACATTAGCACCTGATGGAGTAAGACGTGTGACTGCCCCCTGCTGTTTCTCTGTGAAGCTGTGATCATGTGACCCTTTACTGAGTCCAGATGCCAAGGAAAGATCATTTACATTTACATTCTGCAGCTCACACGCAACAATCACAAAAACACACACACACACACACACACACACACACCCTGAGGTGCCTCAGTCAGGAGGGGTGGGCAGTCATGTGCTCTCTCTCTCTCTCTCTCTCTCTCTCTGTGTGTGTGTGTTTGCAGACATTGGACATTAAAAACCTATCACTGTTTGCTGACAGATTTGTGTCCTTGGTGAAACCACGTGACTCTCGGCTCCACCGTCTATTTTGGTCGATGCAGAATAATCACCGGTGATAAAAGTTAAACGCTTCATTTCATCTGATCCATTGACAGGAGTAAAAAGGTCACAGATAACACCAGCAATAGAACACAAACACAGACGAGTCACGAGGCTCCGCTGCTTGATTTGATTTGATTTGATTGGACGTGTAATATCTTTCAATATCAAACCATCAAATATATGTCTTGGCGTCTGCTTCATCAGCAGAGGAGGGAATGAAACATAAACGACACAAAGATGTTTTTGTTTCAGATTATTTAAACGTCTTTCTAAAATTTTCAACAATGCTCTTTACAACTATTTAGTCATATTTGCTGTATTTCTGGGTATTTTTCCTGGGACAATCATTGACGATATTTGTCCAGTTTTTGCTCTAATACTTTTACAAACGTTTATATAAATATATAAGAAATATATAATCATAATATAGAAAAGTGACAACGCCTGAAAAGCGATGAAAACGATATTAGAAAAGAAGAAAAGAGTTCTACAAAAGCTGTGGCTCCGGTTTAATGCCCTGCTGCCCTCTGCTGGTTAAAAGGAGAAGAGCTTTCATTTGAAGAATCTCCTGCTGCATTTATCGGTGCTGCCCAGTCTAGATAAAGTTAGAAAATTATCTTTTACTTTTTTTTTGACATGTTCTGAGTTTTTTAACAATGACGTGACCAAGCTCTTGTAAGCTATTTTTTAAATTTTATATCTATTAAATTTCTTTAAATATTTACCTTAGATTCTTGCAATGCCTCTTTAGCTTTTAATATTTTACTTTCACCATTGTTGTTGTATTTTTAATTGATTTTTTTGACTCGAAGTTATTTGCTGATAGCCATTAGCTAATAGCTTCTCACAAATTTGAATTAAACTTCAGCTATTTGGGATATTTTTACATAAGGTTTAGGACTGTATGATATTGCTTGGCTTTTTGTTGCCGCTGCTTACTTAAGTTTTCTTCATGTTAAATTTAATATTTATAACTTTTGAAAAACGTTTTTTTTTTTTTTGCTAATGAGGCTCGTTGGGATGGTGGGTAATGGGTGTTGGAAGTATTATTTTATCTCCTTAATTATGAATTATCGTAACATGAAAATACGGTACTATTTGCATCTTGATCACATGATGTTTTTGGTAGAAGTTCTGTATTCCCGTGATATTGTTCGAAGCTTTGCCTTGTTTGTTGGCAGCAGGGCCGTTAATGATGAACAAATACTGTACTTGTGTGTCAACATACCGCTCTGCTCATTAGTACTTGTCACTTTTCTCAGTGTGACATTCCAAACACACTGGAGCTGAATGTGACGTCTGTGTCCAAACAACTTAAACACTGCAATTCCTGTGATTCACGCATAGGAATTAAATGTGTGAATACACACGCGTACGCCACAGTGTTGTCCCATGATCAGGTCCTTTTTGCCACCTTCAACGTAATCTGTTTACACAAGGTGAAATAAGTAGCCTATTTAATTAACCTCTTCTGGATTAATTTTATTTTTGTCTTTCATGTCTAGTCTACTCAGTAGTAATAAATATTTAAAAGTGCAAAAAGAAATAAATTGTTAAAATGTATATATATTATTATACTTATCACCGTTTTCTATAACTAGACTTTATTTTATTTAATTTTATTAATTTTTAAATTTTGGATTCTCTTAGATGAGTCATGAGTCATCCTAGCCACCCGGGGCGCTGTTTCTTCATTGACGCTGCTCCTTCTCCAGACTTTGTTGCCGGAAGTAAATGTGATTTTCTCAGGGCTACGCGTGGGGCTCACGAGTGTGTTTAGATTTGCAGGCGTAACTGGAGTTATTTAAAACAAAAAGTCGAGAGAAACTTTAACAGCGAAAATGGGAAAGAAAGGAAAAAAAGAAAAGAAAGTAAAAGGCGCGGAGAAAACCGCCGCCAAGATGGAGAAAAAGGTTTCAAAGAGGTCCAAACGAGAAGAGGTACCGCTCTCTAGGAATATATACTAAAAAAACGACATTTTATTTTTTTTAAACCGTGTAAACCTAGTATTAAGACTTGTGTTTTGATACCAGTTCATATCAATGTTATTTTAATGTGTAAACTACTAAAATCACAACGTATTGAAATCAAAAGCTCTCAGTGTGGACGCGTACGTACACATAACAAAAAGAAAATAACGAAGAGAACATCAGTTTCTCCTAAACTCCCTGTTCTTCCATCTTTCCTCTCTCTTCAGGAAGATCTGGAGGCTCTTATCGCGGAGTTCCAGAATCTAGATGCCAAAAAGACACAGGTTGTGGAGACAACATGTCCTCCTCCATCACCAAGGTACAGTAAAGGACAGGCCACACAGCCTGCTGCAAAAACACCCAAACTATGTCTTGACTGAAAAACACGGGTCACTAGTTTTAGTCAGTGAGTATAACACCCAAACCTCTTTGTGTGTAAATAAATAACTCATTAAACAGTTGAACATGTAAACATTTCCTTTTTTTTTACTTCTCCTGTGCCTTAACTCTTAAACCAACGCAGATCATATTAACATTTATGAACCAATTCTGGTAAATGTTATCACTCTTATTATTGCAGATGTATATAAATACTCACTTATTAAAATGTGACTTGAACCAACCTTTATCATGTGACGGGTTTGCATGTTCACCTGGTGCATGCGTGGGGTCTTGGTCCATTGTCAGTGATTTAGCTTCAGCGTCTTAAGACTCTTAACAGGATAAACAGTGTAAAGTGGATGAAGAGGACGAAAACTGAGCTAATGTTGAAGCCACATGTAAATGTTGTGACATAAAAGTTCAAATAAAGATTATTTATTTTCCTAATGATAGCGTGGAAATATTTCATAACTATCTGTTTTTGGACGGAAAATGTCTTTGAGTCATTGCTGTGATGATGATGATGATGATGATGATGATTACAGTATCTGAAGACCAACACTAAAACATCGTCTTCTTGTTTGTCAGGTTGAGTGCATCTCTTTCTGCACATCCTGAGAAGGACGAGCTCATCCTGTTCGGAGGGGAATTCTATAATGGGAAGAAGGTGAACAGAAGTATCTAAACGAACTCTCTGCTCACTCAGTAATGTCACTCTGAATGACAGAACTCCCTGATCTGAACAGTTGTATTTTTGCAGACATATCTGTACAACGACCTGTATTTCTACAACATCAAGAAGAACTCCTGGGTGAAGTCAGATATCCCTGGTCCTCCCCCACCACGCTGCTCCCACCAGGTAAGACCTCAAACTCCCTCGTCAGTGTCTCTTTATTTTATTAAAATCCATATTTATCCATCCCATAATTTCGTCTATGGGAACCTCCAAGGGATTATTAAAGTTCTATCTATCTGTCTCTCTGTCTTTTTTGGACGATTCCTTATTTCAGCCACAAGGGGGCAGACTGCCGCAGCAAATATAAGTTGGGGAAAAAAATCTTATCTACAAAGTCATCATGGCCGCCGCTGGCCTGTTGCACTGAAGCCAATCAAATCAGAGGACATCAGTTGTCTTATCTCACCCTGTTTGTTTACAGTAATACCTCATGTCTCACCCTTCTCTCCCCCTCTCCCTCCCTGTCGCCTCTCCTTACCTCAGGCGGTCGTGGTTCCTCAGGGTGGAGGTCAGCTCTGGGTGTTCGGTGGAGAGTTTGCCTCTCCGAATGGGGAACAGTTCTATCACTACAAGGACCTGTGGGTTCTGCACCTGGCCACGAACACCTGGGAGAACGTCAAGTACGTCCACAGTCGTAAGACACCACAACAATCTGGTTCTGTGAGTCCACAGAACTGTTTTAACTTTAATCAGTGAAATGTATATATATAAATATAGATTTTAATTTACTTTTTATTAATTAATTGTTATCCTGGACCATAAATAAAACCTGTGGTTTCCCGTTTCTTCCGTCACGATGGTTGTTTCTTCTGCAGAGCCCCTGGTGGTCCTTCAGGTCGCAGCGGTCACAGGATGGTCCTCAGTAAAAAGCAGCTGCTGGTGTTTGGAGGTTTCCATGAGAGCACCAGGTATTTCCTGATTATTGACGAAAGAACAGCTGATAAATCAACAGGAAGTTGATGTTTGGGTTCTTCATGACCTTCAGATGATTAAGTTTGTCCAAGGAATTCAATGATTTTTTTTTCTCCTCGTCCAACAGGGATTTCATCTACTACAATGACGTCTACTCTTTCTCCCTGGACACTTTCACCTGGTCCCGCCTCTCTCCATCAGGCTCCGCCCCCTCCCCACGCTCTGCTTGTCAGATGACGTCCACACCAGACGGCACGGGGGTCATCATCTACGGGGGCTACTCTAAAGTGGTGAGTGTGTGTGTGTGTGTGTGAGTGTGTGTCCTTTTATTAATCGTCTAATGGTTTTTGTGTTGTAATTTTTTTGTTGCCTTTTTTCAGAGAGTCAAAAAGGACGTAGAGAAAGGAACCATCCACTCTGACATGTGTCTACTGAAGAGGGAGGGCAAAGACGGCCAAGGTAGAAAAAGAAAAGATTGACCACAGACGTTTCTGATCATTTCTATAAAAAGAAAAGATCGACCACAGACGTTTCTGATCATTTCTATCAATTAATTTATTGGAACTTAACTGTTGTTGTTCTTCTGTTCTCCAGAAAAATGGTCCTGGTCCAGAGTGAGCCCCTCGGGAAACAAGCCTCCTCCTCGGTCAGGCTTCTCCATGGCCGTGGGTCCAGCAGGGCGGGCGGTGCTGTTCGGTGGGGTCTGTGACGAGGAAGAAGAAGAGACGTTAGAAGGAGACTTCTACAACGACCTGTACCAGTACGACACCGTGAAGAATCGCTGGTTCCCTGGTCTGCTGAGGGTAAGCTCGGTGTCTTAGGCTAACGCTAACATCAGTGTCATAGGCTAACGCTAACATCAGTGATGTAGGTTAACACTACTGTGAATTGAAATACAATTGAGAACCTGATAACATGTACCGTAAATTTCTATCTGTACAAATCTGCTGCCACCTAGTGACTAAAGGCTTTATATCATTCAAGCATTACAGGAGTGGTACTATCATTCAAGTATTGCAGGAGTGGTACACTTATGTCCAGTGTGCCATATTCCATTGGGAGACCCTTACGTCTCCCAGGGCACCTCACCGTGCCCCACTGTTTGAGAAACACTGCTTTAAACTAAAATGACCTTAAATGACTTCTGTTGTTGTCTGGTGGTGTACAGACTGACCTTCAAGGCCGTCTCCTCTGGTTTTGTGTCCTTGTCATTTGGTCATATATGAGTTTACGTTAATAATCAAACGACTCGTTTAAAAATGCTAATTCTGCCCGTTGAGGTGACCTGTCCCGTTGCCTCATCTTTTACGTCTTCTTCATTGACGTCAATGTTTGTTTTTTTCCTTTTTGTGCTGTTTCTGTCTCAGGGAAACAAGACGGAGAAGAAGAAAAGAAGAAGAGGGAAGAAAGGTGGAGAAGAGGGGGAGGGAGGGGAGAAAGGGGAGGAGGAAGGTGAGGGAGCGGCCTCCGCTGGACCCACTGAGATCATCAAGGAGATCGTCAGTGAAGACGGGACGGTCATGACCATCAAGGAGGTCATCCCTGCAGCTCGTCAGGAGGAGGAGGAAGAAGAGGATGAAGAGGACGAAGAGGAAGAGGAGGACGATGGTAAGATGATAACAGTTAAAGTATTTTGTTTATATCTTTTTAAGAATTTGATCTTCTCACGTCTTCATCCTTCTCCTCTTCAGCTGCTGCTAACCTGGTGGAGCCCTGTCCCAGGTCCAGCTCCATGGCCACGGTGCGTCAGGGGAAGCTGTTCCTCTACGGTGGGATGTTTGAGGTGGGTGATCGGCAGTTCACCCTGAACGACCTCTACAGCCTGGACCTCCACAAGATGGACCGGTGGGAGACTCTGGTGGAAATGGATCCAAGTGAGTGAGGTTTAAAGATTGTCCCGAAGTCACCGGTGTTTCCTGACAAAACACTGACGCAGGAGACGAGTTAGTGATAGGACGAGAGGTTTCCTGTGGATTTATGAGCCCGTCTCTCTGTCCTCAGAGACGCAGGAGTGGCTGGAAGAGTCCGAGTCAGAGGACGATGGAGAGGAGGACGAGGAGGAGGAAGCCAAAGGAGCAGAAGGGGAGGAAGAGGAAGAGGAGTCTGAAGAGGAGAGCGAGGATGAAGAAGGCATTTTAACCTTATTTATTCTGACCAACATTACTTTGAACATTGACAACACAACCAAACTGATATGATATAGTGGAACGAAACATCACAGTATTTCAGTGCAGCCATATTTTCTTACTCTACCTTTTGACCACGTCTGATCAGCATTCCACCTTCTCCGTCTTTCTGTGTGTGTGTGTTCAGGTGGAGACGATCACCCAGCGGTGCAGGAGGGGGAGAACGTGACGGACTATCAGCTCCGCACTGAACAGTACTGGATGAAAGTGGCACGAGCCAACATGGGCCCAGACTCCAAGGACAAAAAAGTTGCCAAAGTTGCAGCTGCCATGGCTAAAGTCTTCTATGAAGACCAGTAGTGGAATAGGACGTGTGCATGTACGTGTGACTGAGACTAAAAAAACATTCATATTTAGCCCAAACAGTCATCAAACAAACATATTCATCTGATCTTCCAACTGATCTAACCTTTTTTTCCTCAGTTTTAATCCATTGTTTTTATCAGTGTGGTCCGGTCATCTATGATGTAAACCTCCACCCACCTCCAAGATCAACGGTTGTTTTCCTCAATAAATTCACTCAACGACTGAACTTAGTGTCAGTATTAAGCCTAAAGTAATAGAAACGCCAGTGTCCAGCGTAGACAGAGGGGGCGCTGTAGCCTTCGATAAAGTCTTAGTTGGAAAAAAAAAAACTCTCTGCAGCAGTTCAGCCGTAAATAATCAAGGGAAATCAGCAGGTAAGTGCCAAAATGGTTAAAATATAGCTTTAGCATTTAGCTAACAAAAAAACTACATGGGTACGAAAAAAGTAAAATCTAATTGTTTGAAAAATGGTTTGCACATTGTCCAAGTTGGCCAAACATGGGTATGCAGTAAAACTTACTGAGAATATTTGGCCAAACACAGGTATGCAGTAAAACTTACTGAGAATATCTTGCACGTTGTCCAAGTTGGCCAAACACAGGTAAAAGATACGCCAATACAGCTATATTTTTGGATACACTTTTTAAGACAAAGCGAATGTTTGTCAACATGTTATTAAAAGTTAAAGTTGCTAAAGACCCAGAGATTTTTTTTTTACTGTTTCCTTTGTCTGGCTTTTTATGATGAACAGAAACCAGGAGGAGGAGGAGGAGGAGGTGATGTTGTAAAGAGGTTGATAGAGAATACTTGACATGACCGTGGCTGCAGTAACAAGAAAATACAAAGGGTAGAAGGTAGTGAGGTGAGTGCGGGGTGAGTCGCTGGAGATATCAGTCAGTGTGTGAGCACCATCCTCTCCTCTGTGACCCATTTTATCCTCCATCAGCAGGCTGAAGGAGGGATGAGGAGAGGCTGATGAATAATAGAAGAGAAGAAAAGAAGGGGGAGAGATGGATGAGAATGAGGCTGCCCTCCTCTGATTCCCTCTTTCTTCTAGCTTCACTCACGATTCACTCTCTCTCTCTGTTTTAATTTTAACTCCAGAGACTAAAAAAGATTTATTGAAAAGCTAAAAAGGGTTGTTTTCTTTTTTGGGAGCTGTGCTGACGTGAGGACATGTTGGGTGTAAACGTCAGAGATGCGTCACTTGTGTGTGACAGAAATAAGGGGGGGTTGATTCTAGCTTTTTAATATTATTTCTCATTTGGATAAATGTTATGTGGAAGCGTTTTTAGCCACTACAGACTGTAAACTTTTAAAATGCTAAGCTAATATTTTGTGGTTTGTGTTTATAACCGTCAACATTTGCGGTATATATATTATATAACATAACGTTCGTTTGCAAATTAATTCGAACTTAAAAAGAAGGATGATTGGTCGACATTTTCGTCGCTATTTTCTGATTGGTCATCAATCATCGCTTGCAGGCAGGAAGTTGTGCTAACTCTCCGAGCTGTTACCAACTAGCTACTTTTTCCACTCGGTATTTGCGATTTTCCTTTTTCCTAAAATGTTCCTAAAATAATTATCTCGTATTTATCCAGTAAGTTCAACAGGTATCGATTTTAGGTAATTATCTCGTATTTATCAAGTAAGTTCAACAGGTATCGATTTTAGGCGGTAACGTTGGCGGTTTTACAGTTTAATTAATCTTGGACTCGTTTTCGCGTTACTCTGGACTTGTGGGAAATGTAGTATTTCATCGGCGTGTCTCTTGACGAGGCTCAAAACAATAACGTGGTAATAATTTACAGAATTGACAGTATTTATGTAAGTTACTCTATCGACAAACGCCATGAATTATTTAGAATTTTGTGTTTAAATGTTTATGAAAAAATAGTATAATTTAATACAGGCTGTAATTTAAGCATTTAGGCATAAAATGCTTCAGTATAGATTTTTGTTTTACAAAAATAAATCTGGCAGATTTATGTTTAAGTAACAGTGCAGTACAACTGTTATCTAACCTGTTATCTATATATAAAAAAATCCCTATTTTCTTTGTTTTTTTTCCATCCAGAGTCCTTCTCAGTACCTGGTACAAAGTCCAAAACCTATTTATCTGACCATTGATCAGCCGTGCGGAGGAAAGTCCTCACAGACTGCCTGGAGATGTCAAACAGTGGACAGAACGAGCAGATGGTGAGTAAACACAGAAGCCACTGAAGAAGAAGAAGTTGCATTTCAGCACAGTTTGGTGACATGTTTTAATATTTAACATCACTGCAGCTGGAGTTCATAGTTCGTTTTGATTGATTCCTGTTTTTAAAAAGTCAAAAAAGTCAATTTACTTTTTTTAATTTTTTTTTTTTACAGTGTAATCATCATCTCCACACTGACCTGTGATCATTTCCTGTGCTTTTATTACCACAGACCTAATCAAATGTCAACGTTGACTGCAGGCCCAGCCTGACGCCCGGCCGCCTCACCTTCTCCTCTTTATCTCCCTCCTCCACTCTGGTTCCCGTTCACTGTTGTACCAGGGAGTTTTTGAGGCCTATAAACCCTAATCCGCAGCCTCTCGCTGATTGTGTGACTTGTAATCTGCACTGGAATTGTTGCAGCTCATCCACACACTGGACAACAGGAGAACAGCAGCAACAGGCAGAAGGAGGGAGAAGGTAAAGGAGAGAGAGAAACAGGACGTCGTCTGCCTCACCTCATCATCATGACCTTTAACCTACACTCAGATCTTAAAATGTAGAAAACAGAAAATAAGATCTTGAGATATTTTAACTTGAGTTAGTGAAGCACATTCACTGCGACACTGTAAAGGCCTGATTACGTTTTTTTATCATTCAAACAGGTGGTGGCAGCACTGAGCTCAGGACCTAAAGCGACGAGCAGTCGGATGCAGGTAGGAAACAGATCAATATATTTTTATTATAATTCAAAAAAATATATGTGTATTTAGATGTCTACATATATATATTTTTAAACATGTATGTATATATGGTTATATACGTACATATACACACATATAAATATATATTTACATACAGTATGTTTATTTAGTAGAATGTGTGTCTATATATATACGTTTATATATATTTACACATGTATGTATATATGTACATATACATACATATATAGATATATAAAAATATATACTTTATACATGCAGTATGTACATTTAGTAGTATGTGTGTGTCTGTATGTATATGTCTTATATATATTTACACATGTATGTATATATGTACATATACACACATATAGAAATATATACTTTATACATATAGTACGTACATTTAGTAGTATGCTCTATTCATGTTATATATATATTGAATATTTCATGAATACATTTATAGAAAAAATATATTTTCTGTAGCATACACTATAAATACTGAAGTGTACAGTTTGGTAAAAACAGTGGTCGCTGCCCTATATTCACCGTTGCCCGTGTAGCGCTACTGCTAGCGTCGCTTGGTGGAGCCAATTAGAGCGGGTTCACCTGCGCATTGTTCCATGACTTCACTCATTCAACAAGCTGGGCCTGAGGGGAAGGTGACGGAGACAAAAGGTCTGAGGGAAGAGCTACAGGTGAGGGAGCAGGGAAGGAAAGTCATCACAGGTGTGTGTGTGTGTGTGTGTCTCTTTAAGATCTGGATCGTGCTATTGAGTAGGAAGGGGGGGGGGTGTTGGGTTGGTGGTTGGCTGCATTGGAACAGTCCTCTCTAATGAGCAGATTTTCTGTGTGTGTGTGTGTGAGGGAGAGAGAGAGAGAGACAGAGAGATAGACTGATCCAGCCAGAGGAGGAGGAGGAGAAGGAGGAGGAGGAAGGAGGAGAAGAAGAAATTGTAAAAGGCAGCAGGCTGTGCGTCAGCCGGTGCTCCATAGGGAAACATGGAGACAAGCAGATGAGATGCTGAAGAGGAGCGAGCGCACCATAACGGGATCACACATAGATGGATGTTATTTCATCAGGCGTCCAACCTGACGGCAGCCCACGCAGGGGATAAACCACTTATGGACGCAGTGGATTAAAGAGCTGCAACAGACTGAGCTGGAGACGCTGGGACAGAGGAGGAGGAGGAATCACACCTCATATCCTTCTCCTTTATTATTTTAATGTCGCTGCCTGCGTGTGCGCATTTGCTGCCAGGAAGAGTGTGTTTGCGTCCGTGCGTCCGTCCGTGCGTGCGTGTGTAGAGAGAGCAGCTTGTAACATTGTGTGTGTGTGTGTGAGAGAGAGACAGAGAGAGGGAGAGAATAAGGCTGGAGGCTGCGTTGCTGCTCACCAGCACCACAAGACAAACCAAAAAAGCATCCAGGCAGCCCCCCCCCCCCCCCCCCCCACTCTGCCCCCCTCCACTCCCCGTTTCTATGCATGTGAGATCCATAGCTGCTTGATTCGCCAGTGTGTGTGTATATGTGTGTGTTTATGTGAAACGACAGAGTATGGTGAAGCCTGGAGTGATCATCACAGCTGACTTTCAGGAGGAGACCCAAAGAAAAAGTCCTCTTCTCCAGATCCAAAGTCTTTTTCCTCTCTTCTTCTTCTTCTTCTTCTTCATCATCTCAGCCAATACCTCACACCTGAGTCTGGATCCTATGTTGGAAGCTCACAGGCTTCACACACACATCTAGGCTTTACACTCCAGAGAGGTGGAGGCATTATCAGGTAGGAGGAGGCAGAGCCGGTGTGCCAGGAGAGGAGTAGGAGTAGGAGGAAGAGGAAGAGTTTTTTTTTTTTCGTGTTGGTGCCGGTGGAGGCTGATGGCACACTGCTGGAGCTGCCTGATGGGTTCGCCTCCTGCTGCTGAGAGAGGATAATGGCAGCTCTGGGCCCACAGTCCTCCGCCTCTTCCTCACTCACCTGCATCCACCACAGAGAAGCTGGAGATTTTTAGCCAAAGCTTGAAGGAGTCCAGCGGAGGATGGTGTGAACAGGATCACCCCTGATTCTCCCACCACAGCGGCGGGAAGCCCCCCCTCACCCCCCACCCCCTCCTAGCTCTCCTGTTTTTTTTCTTCACCCTGTTACCTCCTCACTGGACCAGTTTAAAAGGAGTGTTTTTTAATTTTAATTTTTTATTTTTGTGGGAGTGATTCCACTTCCAACGTCCTCCCCATCCCTACGTTAGCCACCCTGGACTGAAGACAGCACCAAACTGTCCTTACTTTTTCTCCATTTCTTTTCTTTTTCTTTTCTTTTTCTTTTTGTCGAGGCTTCAGGGGAATTGCCAAGACCTGGTTCATGCATGTCCACTGGCGGCAGGTTCAACTTTGACGATGGGGGGTCATACTGCGGAGGGTGGGATGAGGGAAAGGCACATGGCCACGGCATCTGCACGGGACCGAAGGGCCAGGGCGAGTACTGTGGGTCCTGGGCCCACGGCTTTGAGCTGCTGGGGGTCTACACCTGGCCCAGCGGCAACACCTACCAGGGCACCTGGGCTCAGGGCAAGAGACACGGAGTGGGTGTTGAGAATAAAGGCCGCTGGGTGTACAAAGGCGAGTGGACGCACGGCTTTAAAGGACGCTACGGTATACGGGAGAGCACGGGGACGAGCGGGAAGTACGAAGGAACGTGGAACAACGGGCTGCAGGACGGATACGGAACGGAGACCTACTCAGATGGAGGTAGGACAGTGGGGCAGATGCATTGTGGGGTTTGAGATGTAGGCTGTTTATGACATTACCTGATCGGTTTAAAAAACGCCACCAGGGGGCGACTCCACAGGTTGTGAAGTGTAGTCAGTTTTTAAGGAGGAACCGACGTTTTATTTGATTTATAACATTGGAGTCAAAACTTTGTTTCAAGTAAAAAACCTATGATGTACTGAAATAATTTAGTTGATAACAATTTGCTTAATATAGAAGAATATTCTTAAACATTACAATTACAAAAACCAGAAATCTTTTGTCATAACATATTGCCAAAACAGAAATAACTGACGACGATCAAATCGTTGACACAAAAAAGACCAAGTGGCTGAATGAAGCTAACAACACAAAAGATAAACAAAAATAGACCAAATTGCTAAATGAGGCTAACAACACAAAAGATAAACAAAAATAGTCATGTTATTAAATAAGTTCACATATATGTATTTTTTTTTTCAAAGATTATGTTTCCATTTAAAAAGACTAGACAAGAACTGAGTTGTCGTCTGTTCACGCCCGGCGTCTACGTTTTCCCAGGTTAAAGTTTAACAAATTGGTCGACGGTTCAGACGTCGATGGTTCTGCCGTCGATGGTTCTGTAAAAAAAAATTCGGGAAGATGTTTTAACCACGAAGTGTCTGTCAGACAGCGATACTAAAGGAGAGTGATGACGGTCCGCTCCGAGAACGATTGCCCTGTTACAGGAGAATGATTGACTGACTGATGGCAGATTTACAGTCAGAGGAGGAGGCGCAGGAGGAGCAGGAGAAGGCCGTCTGGAGCTTTTTCTCCAGTCACACTTTCCTCCCAGACCTGTGACCCTGTAATCTCTCAAACGTAGACGTCCATTCAGACACAGGCCAGGGTTGAATGAGGACAGGCTTTATAAAAAAAAAATAAAAAAAAATTCTTAGTCTTTAATGTATTTTTCTCTTCTCTTTGAAATCCTCCCCTAAACTCAGACCTCATAAATATGGAGGCCTTGAATTGAAGCCATGTTTCCTGTGATTAAAAAGTCAAACTTACATCAGGCTAAATGTAAAACATTTGATTTCACTTTGTTTTTTTAATGAAAATCTAATGTTAAGGCAGTTTTTTTCAGGCACAACTGCCGAGTTTGAACCAAACCGTAATATAATCCGACAGGAAACTGTTGCTTCTTACGTAGTAGTAGTAGAAGTATTAAAAACTCTCGCAGTACCCTTTAGATATTAACAGTAAACTTGATCACGGCATGTTTATAAAACGTATAGAGCATTGTTATTATTATTGGCAAGAATCTGGCGATACGATACGATAGATCAAGTATCACGATGCAGGGGAAACGACGTGATATATTGTAGTCAAAGTGTCATCATAGTAAACACACGGTGAAAAATTGATGCAATATTGTGAAACAGAATATAGCAGTATGTCAGTGTATCTATGTTATCTTAGAAACCTAGTTGTTGTGACATCCCAACATCTTTGCTCCAGTTTTCTTGAATGCGTTTTTTTCTTCCATGACCATCAGGGGGCGCTTCCATCATGTCTGTCTCTGTATCGTTATTTCCCACTAGTTTACAGTCGCTGTCTTTATAAACCAACGTTTTTACTAACTAGTTTACAGTCGCTGTCTTTATAAATAGTTTCAATGTAAAACGGGTTCAACGTTGACGCTGTGATTGACAGGTGGAACGGTTGATGTTTAAGAATCAACAAACGTGTGTTTGTCAGAAATGTCTGTATTTATTGGTTGATTTTGAAGTTGATGTCAGGCCAGTGTTTGTGTGTAGGGTTTGTTCTGTGGTGGTGACTGCAGGTTAGTAAACACTCTCAGTGATGCTGCAAACCCCGTAGTCAGCAGCCTGAAACTGCTGATGCTGAGCTGCAGTAATAAGCGTGTCCGTGCGCTAACATGCTACATTTGCTAATTAACACTAAACACAATTTACAGCCTCGTGGTCAATAGACAGTATGTCATTTGAAGCCAGTGATGGAGTGAAGGAGTGAGAGATGACGGAGGTCGGAGTTCCTCCTCTGAAGAACAAGAACCTGGCTTTGATTTATGGAAATGGTCTGAAGAGACGTTTGACAGGTGGAACAGATATGTCATGTTCTGGACATACAGTCATACATGAAGACGAGTGACTTTGACAATCACAGGATGGCTGTTTGTGTCAGTTAGACTTTGAAACAACACGTTTCAAGGTAAGGATGTAAGGTATCTCCTTGTCTCCTAAATCTCAAACTGTGTCGTCAAATGTTCCTCCAACGGACAGAGTTGTATTCTGTCCATCAACATTTTGTGTCGTCCAATTACAGAGTTTGCCTCCTTGTAATCACTCGGCCATTTCCTTTATCCGTCTTTCTGTTATCTGTCAATCATTCTGCTGCTCCAGCCGTCGGTCTGTCCTCCCCTTCTTCCTCCGTCTGTCTGTCCATCCGTCCAGCCCATATGTCTGGTGTCAACCCTCATTTTGTGACTAACCCTATTTTCCGTTGTCGAACCTGTTGTTTGTCACATCTCTAGGTCAGTGACTCCGAGTTTAAACTCATTTTGTGACTAACCCTATTTTCCGGACTATTAGTCGCACTTTTTTCGACTTTTGTCAGTTCACATTTGTTATTATCACACTGATAGCCAGTAGAGGGCACTCTAGGCTTTTGTACCAGTATCTGCTACTCCTCTACCACTGAAAATGTTCATTATTTTCACACTCTAGCTGGCTGGTGCGACTTATACATTTTTTGGCTGGTGCTTGAATTCCAAACTGGTTGTCAAAAACCTCAAAGAGTTCGAGAAAGTTTTTTTTTTTTCAAACAACAGCAACTGTTGTCTTTGTCCTTGGGGGGAAACTGTACTGACCTCAGACTCTTTAGCTCGCTTTAGCTTTTTGCTAACAGCAAAATTACATAGTGTCGTTGTCTCCCTTTACTGGTTAGCCAGAAATAAATTAAAAGCCGAGGACTGGAGCGCCCTCTAGATGATCAGGCTAGGTCAGATAGTTTAAGGCATACACTAAACCATTGACTCATTGACTTGTGTAACTGGGTTTCAGCCGTATGTTGATCTGTTACACACACACACACACATACAGTTGCCATGTGTGCGTTTTCGTGTGTGTGTGTTTCTATTTTTAAGCCAGAATCCATATGGTGTGTGTCTGCTGTAAGTGGTCAGAGTGACTGAACTGAATCCCACTCTGAAGACATTGATTTTTGACAAATCAGATCCTGAACCACGTACAGACGTACCACAGATGGACTGCTGCGTTTTTATTTTTGTTTTGTTTTTGTTTTTTTTTTCAAATCAAATATAGACAACATATACTCACAACATTCCCCAGTAAAAAATATTTTATATATTCTGCGTGTGTTGTGTTGCTGGTTGGTGCCAGCGCTCAGTGATCCTCCAACAGACTGAAGGATAGATGTTTGGGCCAAAATCAATATGTTCGCTCTTAACTGTAATCAAATAAAGGACAGAAAATTCTGCAGAAATAAGTCGTTTATTTCTCATATCCGCAGTTTGATGTTTATTTTTTCCTTTTTTTTTTGGACCGGCATAAAAAAGACATAATGTTTCCCAACTTTTTATAAAAACGCTAATAAATCTCTTCCTAAACATTTGCTACATTTCTGGGCCAAACTTTTAGCAGTTTTCTTCATGGCACTACTGACACGTGGACTGGGTTGAATCCTAATAATAGATCAGATTGTTTGTCTTTGATTAGCGTCATCACATGTGGACAAAGTTGTGTACTGCAAACTGAGACTTTCATTAACGTGTACGGACGGATGTTCGTATGTATTTGTGAGCTGACTGTAGTTCTGACCATCTGTTGACTCTCTGTGGTCTGAAGTTATGAACGTCCTGCCCCTCCTCACCCCTGGTGGTCTTGATCTCCTCTCTCTCCTCCTCTACTTCCTCCCTCTCTTCCTTCCTCTCTTCCTCCCTCTCTTCCTCCCTCTCTTCCTCCCTCTCTTCCTCCCTCTCTTCCTCCCTCTCTTCCTCCCTCTCTTCCTCCCTCTCTTCCTCCCTCTCTTCCTCCCTCTCTTCCTCCCTCTCTTCCTCCCTCTCTTCCTCCCTCTCTTCCTCCCTCTCTTCCTCCCTCTCTTCCTCCCCTCAACGCTGCTATTGGCCGTTAGACTGGCTCTGGCAGGCTCTGATTGGCCGGCTCAGCCTTCTGGGCTAATTGTTTACTGAGAAGAGTTAAGCTGACTGATCACCACACACGTACACAGAGAGAAAGAGGGAGAGAGAGAGAGAGAGAGACTGAGGGGAAAAAAAAGAATCATTTCAGTAGGAAATAAAAACATCCATCACAGTGGACCAGCAGCAGTAGAAGCTGAAGATGCTGCGTCTGCACGGCTACTGGTCTGAAGATGATACGATATCTTCATCTTCATCTCCTCCATGTTCTTCTTCTGTGGTGTTTACATCAGAGACTACAATACTGTAGAAGTCTGGAGGATGACCTTTGACACCAGGTCACAACCCCTGATGCTTTGTCTGGTCTAAGGACTGAAAGTCACTTCCTGTAGATGTAGATCAGATTTTTCTTTACAGCAGCTCATTGTCCCCATAATGTCCTTTAACATGTAATGGTGTTAATGAAGAATGATACGTAATAATTTCAAATGTATTATTGTCCGTTTCTTCCATCCATTATTGGTTGACTTTATCTATTTATTTATTTCCCAAATGAAGGACAGGAAACATGGCAGCCTGTCTGTCAGGTCCCTTCCCGTCACTCCTTCTTCATCAGGCGAACACTGCGACAGCTCATCAGTCTTTCTCACCTCCTCTGTCTGCCCCCTGGCTGCCGGCAGTGAAATAGACAACGACAACATTTTAATTGTCCAGCGTGAACACATGCTGCTGAAGGCTGTGAAATGATCGTGACTCCGGCGCTCTGTGAGCCGCAGTAATGAGTCCACTCACGTCAGTGCTCTGTATCTGAAGGGAGAAACTTTGGATTGTGGTCGGAGGC